ACAAATAGCACCATATCATCCACATTTTATCCTGTGTCATAGTCCTCTAGCTGGAGTTCTTTCCATAACTATCCATTCATAAATTCTTGGAAAAAGAAGGTCTTTGTTCCTAAATTCTGTCACATATTAATAATGGCAATGTATCTGTCTAATGTATTTAATATTTTGGTTAAACTGTACACACTGGTATAGTTAAGGGACAATATATACCAGCATTATTAATATCACTGGGGAAAATGTTTTATGGAACATGGATCGTTGCCTGATCCTACTGAAAAGTAAATCCAAATTATACAAAGGAGTATATCTTTTTTAATCTGTAGTTTAATTGCAGTTTTTATATACTGCAAAAGAAACAGCAGTATACTGAATAGTCAGCAACTAGCTAATTTTGACTCACACACTGTGCTAAGTCATAAAATAGGATTTATAAGCCACAATAGCCAAAAGCTAGAACAAAACCCAATAAAACGTGCTATGCTTAGTGTGACTTATGAATGTGCTTCAGGCAGTGGTGGAATTCAAATATGTGAACAACTGGTGCTCTGTGTGGATGCTGCTTCTGGAAGTCCATTCTGGGCCTGGGCAACAAAAAAATTAGCTACCGATTCTGCGGAAGTGGTGCAAACCAGCTGAATCCCACCACTGGCTTCAGGTAAAGAATTAGAGGATAGAAAACATTTTCTTGTTCTACTGTGATTTAGAACAGGAGTTGTCAACTTTTTCTGATATTTATAATAATTTATTACATTTAATATATATCAGCATAGATTAAGTCCCAAGATTAATATCAGATCAACAATCAAGTAAACAATACCTCAGTCAAGAAACTGCCGAAGAAGCCAACAGCAAACAGCCTAACCAAAGAATCTCTAAGAAACTCCCCCCCCCAAAAAAAACCCAACAACACTGACAGGGCAAGCCACTAGAATATAAATTGACAACAAACTGCACTCCTTACTAGCACTGATGTTACCTAGTTTGAGTCATGAAACGTCGGCAAGAAAACAAGCAAGCTCAGAGAGCACCAAGGACCCCACATTTAATATGTACTTGCTGTCTAGATTGTTTAAAACATTACAAATGAAATAATCAAACCAAAAATAGATAGTAAAAGATAGCAAAAGTGACAAAACCAGTAGGAAGAAAAAAACAACTCTTACAATTGAAAGAGGGTTTCAATTATCCTACCCAAAGGACTAGGCCAGTGGTTCTCAACCTTTTTAATACCGCGATCCCCAACTGGTCGTAAGTCGAGGACTAAACCGGTCGTAAGTCGAGGACTAAACCAGTCGTAAGTTGAGGACTACCCAACCGGTCATAAGTCGAGGACTTTCCCTGCCCGGGAGCACCGCGCATGCGTGGTTCCGCCCCCTGCGCCGGCTGAGGCATAGCTGGCAAAAGGCAGAGACGGAGCAGGCCGACCACCAGCTGGCCCAGCTCAAGGGAGGTAAGGCACCCGCCGGAAAAGGGGAAAAAAATGGCGGACAGCCTTGCTTGGCGACCCCCGTGAAATGGTCGATTGACCCCAAATGGGGTCGCGACCCATAGGTTGAGAACCGCTGGACTAGGCGAAGAACCTGATCTTCAGGGCCCTTTAAAACAACAGTAGAGGACTATATGAATCTTGGGGGGGG